CAATCCTGATACAGACGATTTCGTTGTATGGTTACTAAAGATGATATTTTTTGAATTCACCTTCAACTAAATTAAAACATTCCTGTTCAATTAACCTTTGTATACTAGTGTTAAACTGAATAAGTAGTAACCTTTCGATCTGAAAAGTAGCAGACACAGGTTGGTTAACTAGAACGAGAGAGCAAGTGCGATTAAAAAAAAGTTCAACAATTGAGGTCTACCTGACATGAGCCGGTAGGTCGATTACCCAGGTCTTGAGAAGGAAGAATTCCCCGAGTTTATGACCCGAACGTACTACGTCACTCGGCCACGTGGCATGCTCCGTCATCCCTACTTACTCTAGACACTTCTGATTTTAATTTCCTTTTATAATGATAAAGCGAATAATTGCCATTTGTCCTTGTGTATAGCACCTGCCTGAGAACACACCATTGAATGCAGAACCATTCCCTGATTCATCAACCTCCCCTAAAATGAGACGAGCACTTAGGAGCTTTCATGGGCTCGCTCCTACGTGATGGATACGGCAATTGCAAGCCCGGTCAGCTATATAAGGGACCGATATCCTCAACTCTTCCTCCATCATTCTAGAGAGTTCAGATCCAGGGAAGTAAGGGACAACTTTTTGTGTAAGTATTATTTACAAAATTCTGATTACCAGTAATACTAAAACTGTCTGGGTAGTAAATATGGGTCGTTGTGATTAAATTTTTATCTGCTTTTTATAAACACTGAAGATTAAGTAAATGGTCTTGAAATCTGCAACTTTTCATTTTTTTACGGTAGTTATAATTTTTTTCGTTTCATTTGCAAACTTGTAATACTTAATTTCACGAAATTTAAGACGATGTCACGCTAACATGTAAATATGGACAAACTGATAAGGTTCCATTCTGGGTTGTTAACCAAATGTCTTTTCTTGTATATTTAAAATCATGATACTTCAACTATTTTCATGATTTCAAACTTTCGTCTACAATTTAAAATCTTGGGTCATTTTGCTGCTTTTAACTCGAAGTCAAAACTGAGTAATTAAAAATATGGAATAAAATTATTCTACATGATAGTGTTGTGGGATTATCAAGATGATAAAACCTGCATTTCCTATACACAGAGAAGATATCCACATTGCATTCTTATTCTTGCGTCCTTCAATTATTTAACATTTCCAATGAGTGCATGACAAATTATGTAATGTAATTTTTGGTCACTGATAATTATTTTATAGTTAAAGCTAAGTAATAAACTACATCATGAGTTGTCTTTTAAAAAGACAAATGTATTTTTGAAATATAGAAATGTATGACCCAGATGCTGGAAACAGCTCGGTGTTCTCTATGACGAAATTAATGTGCTTGAAAAACTATAAGAACTTTTACTTTTGGGTTGCAGTGAATAAAATTATTCCCCTAGTACCCGCACCAATAAATTTTCCACAAAGAACGGCTTGAATTATTACTATGATCTATGCAAAACACCCAGCGAAAAAGACTGGGTTTTTAAATACACATATAATGTATTATTATATTTTTATTTTATATCTCAGGTCACCAAGGAATCAGAATGAAGACCCTGTTTGTCCTAGCTGCTGTCGCTGTTGTGAGTAGCGTGGTGTATAGTCAAAAATACATCCCAGTGGATGGTAAATTGCCATGTAAACCGTGTAACCATGACGACATTCCTCTCGGACAATTTAAAGTGTTAAACCCGATTTGTGGACCTTGTGGAGAAATGTACGGACCATCTTTTGAATTTTGCTGTATGTGTGACCGGAAGATCAGACGTGCCTGCGAAGATGCCATCCGCAAGTAGGAATTTCAGTAGAGGAACAGAAACTTAAAATCATTTGTCAGAGAAATTCTATGTTGACAGCGAGTGTGTTTTTGATCTCAAAAGCAGTTTGCAATAAAAGTATTTTTTAATAAATTATTTTGTGTTTTGTAAGGTTTAAACATGTATGATATGACCAATGATTCGTTGTTTAACTTTGAATAACCTGAGGGGAGGGCTTAGCCCCCCCCCCTTTTTTTCCAAAGATAGACATAATATAGGCATTGAAAATTGGGGCTTAGACCCCAAACTTTTTTTGATGGATTTGCGCCCCCCCCCCCTTTCAATTTGCTTTGAACGTTTATAGGTTTTATCAAGTAAGGATAATGGTCAACAAAGCTCGCCTACATGAGCTTAAGTTTTCTTAAACATTGATCTTCAATTTTAATTTTCTTGTGTATAGAACATAATAAAGTAATATGCATTTTTGCTAGTAACTCAGAACTGAAAGAAGATAAGCAAAATCGAGTCGAAGTAAAAATAAGCAGGATGAAAGCCCTTAGACATAAAATTCCTCTGATTTTCAGTTTTTTGACTATCCTATTGTTCTGAAACTATTGGAAATATGTGTTAACTGTGACGATAAAATCAACTCTATTTGCGTGCCGAAATTTTATTATCTCGAATATATTATCGTGAATAATGAAAAAGGTGATGATTATACGAACAGTGATAAAAAAAAAATACAAAAACCAATACAAATCTGTGAACAGGGCATACCCGGTAATACACGAGCCCCCAGATATTCCACAAGTGAGATCAGGTGCCTAGGATGAGTAAGCACCCCCTGTCGACCGGTCACACCTGTTGTGAGCCATATGTATTGACCAGGTAGATGGAACATTCCGTAGTCAAATTTAGTATAAAAACAAAGGCCTAACAATTGGTATAAAACAAAGCCAAAATACTATCCAATAATCGGTTATATTTTTAACAAGGCCATTATAACGACCATAGAATTTACGAAATGCTGACTTTAAACGAGGTTGTTGAAATCTCTGTAACATCAACTAATCTGTCAGTAGCCTGCTTGTTTAAAAATTTATTGTAGTCAGAGCATGCTCTTGAGTATCGAATAAGGTGGGAGGCATAAATACCATATGCAGGTAATAGTGATATAATTTCATAAATAGGGAAAGTTGACGATGAAAAGGCTGATATCATCTAGTTTGTCATACAATTTAGTTGTTGGCTGGCTTTATCGTCTCTAGTCAGTAAAACATCCAAATATGGCATATGTGGCAGGCTCTGAGGTGTCTTTTATTTCGAGTTCACTGGGATATATTGACTCGACATATGAATGAAAGTAACTATTGTTTATTGATAAAACGTCGTCGATATATCTGAATGTGGAATTGAAGGCCAAAACAAGTGTTTTCTTCTTCTTATGTAGAAGTTTTTGAATATATTCTGCTTCACAGGAATATAAAAAAATCAGTTAATAAAGAAACACAATTAGTGCCCTTCGGATTTTCAACAGTTTGTTGGAAGACCTGGTCTCCAAAGACTACATAAATGTTGTCAATGAGGAATTCCAGCATCATTTTAATATCAACTACAGGGTACCTGTGTGTAGAATCAGAGTGATTTTTAACAATTGTGTTGATGACCAACCATAAGATATTAAATTATCTGAGTTTCATTTTTATTTAAGAAGCAATTGACTATGAAATCAAAAAGCCCAGTTTTTAATTTGTCGTGAGGAATAGTTGTACGAGTATAAAGTGTAAAAATGTCGTACATTTTGATATTACTAACTTTTGAAAAATTGGGTAAATTTCAGTTCTAAATTGACAAATCCACATCTGATTTTCACCACTTCGATAATATAGTGTAGATCAGTTCGTCTGAAGTTTCTCCTTTACAGCAGTTTTAAATGTTTTTTGTGAGGAGTAAAGATAGGGGCTTGGCAGAGCATTTGGTGGACCTGGCAATATCTTAATTTGTAAGATTTTTTATAAGTTTAGGAATTCAGTATAGATAGGATAGATAGTCGAACTCACCTTGGTTGACTGGAATGTTAAAAGTGTAAAAAAAAAATGAAATGTGAATTTAAAGAATTTCATCCTTAGAAAGTGAACTATGAGTATGTATACGTTGGAATTCCAGACATTGAATTCAAACCAAGTTCTTATAAAATACAGTTCTAATAATAATGATATTAAAGACGATATTGTTACAAGCATTGTCTGCTGGGATTATCAGTAACATATTGTTCATGTAGTCTTTCTAATTCTTTTATCACATCCGATTGGATTTTGGTTTTATTGCTATTTTTGTTTCATGTTTTTTTAAATTACATTTATTGTTTTAAAAGAAGATGGGTGAACATGACAAGCGAAAAGCCTATATTGTGACAAACATGAAGGTGAAAAATTAAATTTTAATTATGTAAAAAATTTCCTTGATATTTCATCTAACATTAAAATATACTTTATGTAAAATCTCTACAATTTTCAAAAATCTCACAAAGATTGAAATTATTTGCTTATGAAATATTATACACACACTAAAGAGGGCAAAAAGAGTCATTTTCTCACACTATAACACTGTTTTTCGTTATGAGTGGGTCTTCGCTCCATTTTTTTGAAAGTTAATCCTCAAAGTTTGCATAAAAATATACATTTTTTTGGTTTCCAAAAACATGGAGCAAAGACCCACTATACCTTAAAAATATACTTTTATGACATAGCATTCGCATCTTTTCGAGAAATACTTGAAGTCCATAAAGTCAAGGGTCATTTCACAAACATGGTTTAAATGCCACTATTCATCAGGACTTGGGTAGTCTAGTGGTTAGCGTGCTAGTATCGAAAGAAAATGATACTCAGGATTTTTATTGCTAGGGTTCGAACCCCACGCATACCACATTATTTTTCTAAATAAAAGAATAAATTTTGCCGAGAAAATTTTCCTCAGAAAAGTTTTGTTTATTATAAATTCAGAAATTTCAATAATGAGATACTTTACTCTAAATAATAAATTCACAAATTGAAATGATTTTTATAGATCTGAAGCTATAGGCTTTCTGCACGCTATGTTCACCCATCTCCTTATATGTCAGAGATAGATGACTGAATAGTAAACTGGGGAACGAGTTACTAAAAAATATGAATCGATACCTCGAACAAGTTAATAAATACCATCTTACTTCCGGTGAAAGAAAAACGAATTTATGATCAAGGGATCAACATGGAATACGAGGAAGAAAAGTTAACAGAAGGTCTTGTATTGGCTCGAACTCGAGCTGTAGATCTAGATGGCGTCAAAAAGTTAAATTTCTGGTAAAATGATTTTTAATTAGAGAATTTTGATTTTAATATGTTGACGGTGCGACCGTTAGGGCGAACGCAGATTCACCTTTTCAGTGCATTATTTACTATTTAGAACCGTCTCTTCAAACCGCACGTGATATTTGGTGCGTCTAGATACTCTGACGTCACATGACGTCGTATATAAGTTGCATTACCAAACCGAAGCCTGAACAGTGCTCATTTTGAAGACGAAAGTTTTATTTACTATTTATCTGCAACATATTCATTGAATCAAGGCGAGTTTATTTTTTGTTGAACTTTTATTGTTATTCTCGCGAGAACGTAGCTTAAACAAGTGAAGCAGAAATTACTGCGGAAAAAAAATCATTTGGATCACTGTGTAAGTCCGAATTTTCTCTTCGCCCAGGCGTTGTCGTTAGAGCTCGCAGTGCGAGCGGCACTTTGCGCTGGCTATAATTGATATCTGCAGAATAATGATCTTGCTGCCGATGAATGACAAAACAATGTTTCACATGACAATTGACAGGTAGTCTCGAGAGTGCAAAATATACTCTCTCAGTATAGGATCACAATATCAGTGTTGGGCACGATTACTGAAAAATGTAATCGATTAATAATCGATTACTTAGAGGAATTTTGTGTAATCGATTATTAATAGATTACACTCATTTTTGTCCTGTAATTGATTGTAATCGATTACTTTGGAAGATGTAATCAAATAATTATCGATTACTTCCAAGTTTTTATCCCTTCAAATATCAAAGCAATATTTAAATGGTAATGTTGATGATATCCACTGAAGTTTGAATGTGTTCCTGCAGTTTCAGTGCAGATTCTTTTAAGGTTTTATTCTGGCTAACATTCTCACTAAATGCCCAAATGAGGGATTCTCTACCATGGAAAGTGGAGACATGATTCCAACAATAAAATATGCCAAGGAATTAATTATTCCTTTCAACCTTGGATCTGAACCTCCATATTCAGATTTGACTTGTTGCAAAAATTATTTATATTATTTTATTGTGAATAACTTCATTAGAAGTATTTGGGCTGCCCGTATGTTGACAGTACACATTAAGCATTCTTGTACATGTCTTCTTTAAAAAAATAAGTAAATTAGAACTCTTAGTAATAAACATGTAAATTAAATGTGTCTTTAAGTAATTAAACTAATAGCACAATTTCATTCTGCATTGAAGTAAATGTTTTGAGAGCTATTAATTGTTTTAATAATATTGTTTGTCTTCAATGGAACTATGAATTATAAAAGTTAAACACTAGGTAGTTCACAGTTTACACCTCATTATCTGCAAGTCAGGGATGTCTCAGTCAATTAATTAGCCAATTAAGATAAGCAAACACAGTGACATTTACTCCCTCTCTTACAGACACTTATAACCTCTCACTGATATAAAAGCAGCCTTACAATTTTGAATGAAAACATGAGAATGATTTTGCAAATTTTAAAGTTACCAAAACACAAGTTTGAAGTTGTTTAAACATTTTCAGATATGAATAAGTATTCCCATCTTCTTTTTTTCAAGTACAATGTAGTTTATTTACCAAATTATTTATATTTAATACAGCACTTAAATCTGTTTTTGCTATTTATAATTTTCTATTACAAGACAAAGTTTTTCAATATTTGAAATATGAAAAAGGACATGCAGCAAGAGGACAGTGGGTCAAATGTAAAATGCATACAAAAAATCTATATATTTTATTAATAAATGGTTGAAATACACTTCTGAATTATTTAATACTAGACCAGTATGTCTATAATGCAAGTTTTATTGAGAACATTATTAAACTTATGATAATAAAAGTTAGGAAATCCAAACATTACACTAGATGGTTTATATTTGATATTTATGTGTGATGTACCATGTGTACTGAAAGGAAATAATTCTCCAAAATAACATCCATTTATGTATAAAAAAATCAAAAGTAATCGAAAAAGTAATTATAATTACATTGAAAATTTTAGCTGTAACCGATTAAATTACGATTACAAGTAATCGAAAATCTCTTCGATTACAGATTACTGTCGATTACTTGAAAATAAGTAATCATTACAATCGTTTACAATTACTCGATTACCATTACCCCATCCCTGCACAACATAACATGCCATTTTGATTGTCAAAGTAGTACAAAACAAATCGGAGAATTATATAAAGGCTCTGGCATTCAATATTGTGTGACAAATATTGCACATTCACATAAAAAATTAATAATATGTTGAGGGTGCCACTGTTGGAGCAAAAACAGTATTAACTGGATACCTATTTAGTTTTCATTTAGATCCACAACTTCAAAACGTAAACTTTAGACTGTAACATTATGATGTCAAATGTTAGTTGCATTTCCGTAACAAAGTCTAAAAAGGGCAAATATTGCATAAGGAGTATGTAATCTACTGTATTTATCTGCAATTTCCAGCAAAGAAAAAGTGAGTTACATATTTAGTTGTGACTTTTCTTTGGTACATGTACTGCAAAATATGAGCTAAAGAACAGTACCACAGAATGACAGATATGGAAAAACAGTCTATATGCAGTGCATTGTGGGTCCAGAGGTTACTGCGAAAAAAAAATCATTTGAATTAATGTGTGATTTTTTCCTGCCAAGGCAGTGCCTTAAGAGCTTGCTATGCACGTTAAAATAATGGCTGCAAAATTTCGTCTCCATAAACCCCCACCAAAATGTTTAATCCTCTCCCATTCTGGCCATGGTTGAATGAGAAAAAAAATACTTCATAGCTCATTAAAATTTGTTATAGTTGCAAGTAAAGCATTATTGGTAATTGACCTATGACGTGACCTTTCAGTAGCCAATCACATTTTATGTGACATTTATTGTATATTGGTTGATTTCCATTGACACATTCAAAGTAAATCAAAATATTCAGTTCTTTCTTAGGCACATGTAGGATGTTTTACAATTAATCTGCAGACATTATTTAGCTATTGTTATGGAATTTTCTGATATTCTAACTACAGTTGCACTTATTTATGTCAGATGTTGATATTCTGAATAGTAAAGTATCCCAAATTTTGTGATTTAATTTTTTTTTCCTGCCATGTTTGATATATCAAGGTTAGACGGTGATTTCTTTTTGTCTCAAACGGAAATTACAGAATTAAATCCATTAGCAAAATTCTACATGCAAGAGGCTTATTAGTTACAATGATCTTCAAAAGTCTGTGAACTAAAAACTGATGATAAACATGTTTTTTGAAAATATTACTTTTACCCCTTTAATACAAACAATACATTTACAAATGGAGATGTAGATATATGAAATGTTTAAATCAATGTAGAAAAGATACTGATTACATAGTTTTATTGTTTGTGAAGAAAGATTAATTTTAAAAGCAAATGCTTACTCTGTCTTTGCATATATAAGAAGTATAGATTTTGAATGTTTTGGATTTACAGGGGATCAGAAATCAGTGATATTAGTGTCGTGAGAAGTATGCCAAATCTAGAAGTTTGCAGTGTAAGGTGAGTTTAATGTGTAGAAGAATACACATTTTTTTTTTTACAATAAAGGCCAACCTGTTAATTGTACATGTACATACAAAAGTGGAGATATAAGTAGCATACAGCAGATCAAGGATTGTCAACTGGATTTTTGTTCATGATATTATAACATTTATTTATATATGAGATTAAAAAAAGGTCAATGATAGGCTATGTTCAAAGTTTGCAAAAAAAAATTTTTTGAATTATTTAAAGAATGGATATACATCATTCTTATTAAAGCATGATATCCTTATTATTTCATTACAGTGTAAACAGCATAACGACATTAGCTGATTTTGCAAGATGTAAACAACTAACTGAGTTGTACATAAGAAAAAACAAAATAGAGGACTTATCTGAAATATATTACTTAAAAAACTTACCCCGTCTGAGGAATCTGTGGTTAGCTGACAACCCTTGTGCTGAAAGGAAAAATTACAGACAAACGGTTCTACGCACCCTCCCCAATCTACAGAAACTGGATAATGTTGGTATGATGGATTATCTCAAAATTGTTATATGTACATATATATCTGAAATATAAAATCGAAATTAAATAAATTGGCACAAATAACTTTTAAGTAAGAATTTTATCACAATTTACCTATTAACTGATTACTTTTTGATCTTATTTGACCAGGATTTATATTTAGCTGTTTACAGTGCACTAATTCATGACTACGACAAATTATAAATTCATAAATTCAAATGCACAGAAAATGTGGATAGATACTGCAAATTATATTACATGTATTGTAAAGTGTACCGGTAAATGTAAAAAAAATAAACCCCACTAATTTTCCATGGTACTTATCTGTTTATAAGCGAAAGGTGTGAGAAAGTGTTAATATATATATTTATTGGGATAATACTTTGAAAATCCTCAAATCTATATATAATGGATAAATTTGTAGTAAGAAAGGAGGAATGAGTAAAGAAACTAGCAGACTAATTGTTCTCGAACAATTAGAGGTCTTTCCACCTTCTTTAAATTTCATATATTTTTCAGATTTTACTCTCTAAAGTTAATTTTTATACAAAAAAAATCCATAAATGGCTTGAAAGATAGAAAAAATGAAAAATTTGAAAATTTTGAAATGACCTTGACCTTTGACCATCAACTCATATAAGGGGTCATCGGATACTTTCGCACTGAATAGATTGAAGTTGTGTCTAAAGACCCTGAAGACATTAGTGGAGGTTTTGTGTCTCTACAGTTTACGGTTTCGGAGGAGTAACGATAACAAGGTTTTCAGTAAAAGGGGCAATAACTTTCAAAGGGGTAAATTTCAGGGGACAAGCATGAAATCTTTGAAATAGTTTTAAGAGGACATATTAATGATGCAAAGGTATTTAGTATATGTTGAAAGACAAAAGAGATATAAAAAGAGCTTAATTTCTCACATTTTGAATGACCTTGACCTTTGACCTTTGCATATATTTTAAGGTCAAAGGTCAATGAATCTTATGCAGTTGGACCCATGTCTCTACGACTTATCGTTTTGAACATTTTTAATTATTCGTAAACATCAAAAACTTTCAGGGGCAATAATTCATAAAAGGGGTCGACGAATACTTTCGCAATGAAAAGATTGAAGAGTCTCCTCAATTAGTCGAAGACATTGGTGAAGGTTCCGTACCTCTACGGTTTACGGTTTTGAAGGAGTAGCGATAACAAGGTTTTATTGCGAAAGGGGTTGTAACTCCTTAAGAGGTCAAAGTTCATATACGCAGGGTCAACTGCAAAAATCTTTTACGAAGTACATTCTTATGGACAATAAATCTTTTCGATAACTTTTGAAACAAAAAACCATTCGGCGGAAAAATAATAAAAATAATAATAATAATAACTAGTAGACTAATTGTTCTCGAACAATTAGAGGTCTTTCCACCTTCTTTAAATTTCGTATATTTTTCATATTCTACTCTCTGAAGTTAATTTTTATACAAAAAGATTCCATAAATGGCTTGAAAGATAGAAAAAATGAAAATTTTAAAAATTTTGAAATGACTTTGACCTTTGACCTTGAACAAATATTCAAGGTCAAAGGTCAAGGGTCACATTGCACTTGACCCCATGCTTCTATGACTTTTAGTTTTAAAGTTATAAGGTTTAATAGTAAGCGCAAAAACTTTAAAGGGCAATAACTCATATAAGGGGTCATCAGATACTTTCGCACTGATAGATTGAAGTTGTGTCTAAAGACCCTGAAGACATTAGTAAAGGTTTTGTGTCTCTATGGTTTACGGTTTCGGAGGAGTAGCGATAACAAGGTTTTCAATGAAAGGGGCAATAACTTTTAAAGGGGTAAATATTAGGGGACAAGTGTGAAATATTTGAAATAGTTTCAAGAGGACATATTAATGATGCAAAGATACTTAGTATATGTTGAAAGACAAAAGAGATATAAAAAGAGCTTAATTTCTCATATTTTAAATGACCTTGACCTTTGACCTTGACAGAAATCTCAAGGTCTGAGGTCAAAGAATCTTATCCAGTTGGTTTCATGTCTCTACGACTTATCATTTTGAAAAAAAATTATTTTTTGTAAACTTCAAAAACTTTCAGGGGCAATAACTCATAAAAGGGGTCCATGAATACTTTCGCAATGAAAGGATTGAAGAGTCCCCTCAATTAGTTGAAGACATTGGTGAAGGTTCTGTACCTCTACGGTTTACGGTTTTGAAGGAGTAGCGATAACAAGCTTTTATTGCGAAAGGGGTTGTAACTCCTTAAGAGGTCAAAGTTCATATACGCAGGGTCAACTGCAAAAATCTTTTATGAAGTACATTCTTATGGACCATAAATCTTTTCGATAACTTTTGAAACAAAAAACCATTCGGCGGAAAAATAATAAAAATAATAATAACTAGGAGACTAATTGTTCAGAGAACAATTAGAGGCCTTTCCACCTTTTTAAGTGTTTCCATGTCATTTGGGCTGAAAAAAAGGAGAAAAATGCAAAAAATGAAAAAAAAAAGAAAAAAAAAGAAAATGCTCCTCCAGCTGGGATCGAACTCAAAACCCTTGGGTTGAAAGGCAGGTGCGCTAACCATTCGGCCACGCATTCCGATAACACACATAAGTTAATTGTTTCAGAGTATAAAAGAAATGCAAGCGTATTTTTAGAATCGGTAGGGGAAGAAAGAAGTTCCGTAAAAGGAAATAGTTCCTGAATTTGCAAGCAGTATATTAAATAATAAGGGACGGACTGCGTAAGAAAACATTAACACTGTTCCCTAATGAAAATGTATTAATGGACTGTAGCCCGATTCATCGATATTGTGAGCATGCTGATTTTTTTTGTAAATAGCTTTGTTGTAAGCTTAAAAGATCGGGTTCGGATTTTAACATTTCTGACTGAATATCCTGAAATAACTATGAAACATTTAAATAAGCATTTCTTTGGGTTAAATTAAATATGTGTATCACAAATTAAACTCCCAACATGCATTTTTAGAAGGGAAACACGACAATGAAAGCGAGAATTGTTTTTAATCTACCGAAAATCGCTATTTCTGGAAACTGATTAATTCTAAATAAAAATCAAATAAATTCCAAATGTAAAAGAAAGAGAGAATGCTTGGTATTAAAATGTCGTATCATATCAGGAGAATCGAATGCTGCTAACGACATCTGAAGAAATAGCCGATAAAAGGTTTAGATCATTTCTTCGTTCACCTGCACTTTAATTACAAACACAACAGAACTTGTAGTTTTTGCCGTGAAACTTCAAGACTTCTATAAACTTATAGGACTCACCGTAAAACTCTCCAGAAACTTTCTCTGAGGTCTATACTACAATTGTACCAAATATGGTGTCGATCCGAGGTCTGGTTTGAATTTGACAGAAATATTCTACGTTGTTGTTGATGTGATTTTTTTTTTTTTTTTTAAGAAGGGGGGGGGGTAGGTTAATTATTTATTTTATGCCTCTTTTAAACTAAGAATTGTAACTACTTCCAATTCCTTAAGCCTGATTGTGACCTTGGGTCAAGGTCAAAGGTCAAGGTCATTAAAAAAAAAAAAACAACAACAACAACAAAACCCCCCAAGAAATCTTTACTTTCTGTCTTTTTACCAGATACTGGAGCTGGATGCATGTCCTAGCTTTTCTATTTGACCCAAGGTCAAAGGTCAAGGTCAAAGTTCAAGGTCATTTGGTGAATTGCTATATTTTACACATATATAAAGGATTTCTTATGTTTTTAAATGACCTTGACCTTTGACCTTGACCTATATTTCAAGGTCAAAGGTCGAACATGCCCATGCAGTTGATCCCATGTCTCTAGGATACACCGTTTTAAAAAAAAAGTTCATTAAATGTAAGCAGCGTAAACTTTCAGGGGCAGTAACTCATACAAGGGACCAAAGAATGCTTTCGCAATGATAGAATGAAGAGAGTACTAAATGAGTCGAAGACACTGATGAAGGTTTGGAATCTCTACGGTTTACGGTTTCGGAGGAGTAGCGATAACAAGGTTTTTTTGCACAAGGGGTGACAACTTTTGAATGGGTCAAGCTCGGGGGACAAGAATGAAATCTTTGAAATAGTTTTAGAAGGACATATTACAGATGCAAAGATATTCAGTATATGTTGAAAGACAAAAGAGATATTAAAAAAGCTAATTTTCTCATATTTTGAATGACCTTGACCTTTGACCTTCACAAAAATTTCAAGGTCAGAGGTCACAAAATCTATTGCAGTTGGTCCCATGTCTTTACGACTTATCGTTTAGAGAATTTTGTCATTATTCGTAAACTTCAAAAACTCTCAGGGGCAGTAATTCATTAAAGGGCTCGACAAATCGTTTCGCATTGAAAAGTCCTCTCAAGTAGTCGAAAACATTGGTGAAGGTTCTGTATCTCTACGGTTTATGGTTTCGAAGGAGTAGCGATAACAGGCTATTCTTGCGAAAGGGGCAATAACTTCGTAAGAGGTCATGGGTCAAACACGGGGGGTCGTTTTTCGAAATAACTTTTAATATCCAGTATCATGAACTGTAAAGTTTTTCGATAAGTCTTGCGGTTTCAAAAGTCCTGGTGAGAAATAAAATAATAATAAACATAAGCATTTCAAGAGGTCTTTCCACAGAAAGGTGGAAAGACCTAATAAAACACTAGGAGACTAATTGTTCAGAGAACAATTAGAGGCCTTTCCACCTTTTTAAGTGTTTCCATGTCATTTGGGCTGAAAAAAAGGAGAAAAATGCAAAAAATGAAAAAAAAAAAGAAAAAAAAAGAAAATGCTCCTCCAGCTGGGATCGAACTCAAAACCCTTGGGTTGAAAGGCAGGTGCGCTAACCATTCGGCCACGCATTCCGATAACACACATAAGTTAATTGTTTCAGAGTATAAAAGAAATGCAAGCGTATTTTTAGAATCGGTAGGGGAAGAAAGAAGTTCCGTAAAAGGAAATAGTTCCTGAATTTGCAAGCAGTATATTAAATAATAAGGGACGGACTGCGTAAGAAAACATTAACACTGTTC